GGTGCCTAACTGACACAACTATAATGTGTCGTCGGTAAAATCAAAATCAAACAACGAGCATGCGCGAAATCAAAATTCGAAAATGGCGACATATACCCATCTGTGTGTGAATATATATATATATATATATATATATATATATATATATATATATATATATATATATATATATATATATATATTGTAAAAATAGTTATACAAAGAATAAATGTAATTAATGCCGAATTCTCTTCACTAACAGATTAAATGTCATTAACTCACTAAACATTCGTTGAACGACGCGATCCTTGTTTTTAAAAACAGTAAAATTGATTAGATGTTCAGTCCGTATTGCAAGTATTTACGATACCACATGTATCATCTTCTGGTATGGATGTTATTTTTCAATTTCAGTTAATTTCAGGTGAAATTCTTAGATGAAAATAAATGAAATACTGGTCGAAAAATGTCTGTTTTTTTAAAGTGTGTTATTATTAAATTTTGGAGCGACGCTAGATTTTTATTTTTCAATATTGTAATTGAGAAAGTTATGAATATAGTAATGTGGCAATTCATCAATAAATAATAAAATTTGGGAAATGCACGGTATGCTGTACTCCTTGACATTCGCGACGCAAGATCCAAGACGAAGATTTCAGAGTCTTTGGGTGTTATTCTGAGGACAGTGTAGAGTATATTAAAAGAGTTGGATGAGTCTAATGGTGATCACGAAGGTTTTTGGAGTGATCACTAATGATGGCGGCGTTATGCATCCATTCCTCTTCCCACTGATCCCAGACTTAATACGGAGGCCTACATCAAGTGCCTTGAAGAGGTTGTGCTGAACTCGGTGAAGATGGTCGCTACTGAAAGACCCTGTCTGGCAACAGGACACCTGATCACACAAGCAGGAGAACACAGTCATGGCTGTTAGACAATTTCTGCGATCACATTATCCCTTACATCTGTTCACATAACTCCCCAGACTCCAACCCAATTTGTTATTATGCGTGTGGGGATGCAGTTGAAAGAGACTCCAACAAAATTTCTTGTAACATCAAAAATGAGCAGAAGGCAAGGATTATGGCATAATTCCTCAACATACACAAGGAGACCGTCCAAAAGAGATGCAGATAATTCCTAAGTCGTCTGGAGGTTGTGGTTGAAGAAAATGGCGATTTTATTGAATATAGTTACTCTTTAGAGTTTCAAGTTATTTCTGTGTAATTTTGCTAAATATATCTGCTAACATGAGTTATCACTGTTACTTTCATTTTTGCGTAAGTTTGAAGACAATTTATCCATCGAACTCTGCATATATTTTTAGAGAGAGATAGATAAAGTAAGAGAGAGAGAGAGAGAGAGACATGGAGTGAAATAAAAAATTATATTTTATACAAATACATATTTGATATGCATATATCTGTATCTGTCTATCATTCTGAGATGTACATTATTTACATTATTCGGACTATTGTCCTCAAATATGGCGACAAAGTTGTGGACAATAGTCCGAATAATCTAAATAATGTGCGTATATCTGTATATATCTGTTTGCATATTTATATAGCAAGAGCTTCGCAGCTAGGTCTCGCCATATCATGTACACAATGATAATTCAATTCTTTGTTAGTGTTCCAGTGGTAATAATTAAATACCAGTTAGACCGCTTTTTTCACAACTGTTACTTTCTAGAACAAACTCCCGTGAGGATTCTTCCCTGACCACTACAATCTGAACTTTTCACATCCAGATTCAACTGATACCTATCCTATATATCCTCATAATATTCACTTCTTTCTTCCCTCTCTCTGACAACAAACGCATTTCGTTAACCTCTACCTTTAGTGGCTTTTTGGCCTTGATTGAAGGAACTAACAATAATATATATATATATATATATATATATATATATATATATATATATATATATATATATATGATACAAAGAAGAGAGAAACCTCAAACGTTTTTGATTGCAATGTGGATGTTTTTAAAAAAATGCATTATGCATTATTTTCCATAATTTTACTACACGTGTTTCCGGTCTCGCGACCTTCATCAGGCAAAAGTGGATATTTCTACATATTATTAAAAGGAATTATTTTTTCTCATGTTTTTTCGATGTTAAATATTCTCGATATTAGACAGTCTCTTCTTTGTTGTTAGTTATCCAAATGTCTTTCTTGAACTGTCCAGACATTTGGATAACTAACACACAAAAAAGAGAATGTCTAATATCGAGAGTATTTAACATCAGAAAACATAGAAAAGTTAATAAAAATGAACACGCTACCACCCCTCGTCTGAATGATTGGATTTCCTTGTATCTTTGGGAACACTGAATTATGAATTTTTTTCTGTGCCTTTAAAATTCAATAATTTTTTTAGAATATGTTACTCCAAAATTCGCTTGGAAAATGGAACTAATATTTTTAATT